ATTATAACATGAATTTTTTAAAATACATAATTGAATTCTTAAAAAGCATGTTATTATTCATAAAAATAATAATTGAATAACTATAAAGCATTTTATTAGTTACGAAAATAATTGAATTCTTGTGAACGATTTTATTAGAATTTATTAAAATAATTGAGTTTTCAAGAAGAAATTTATTACTTTTAAAAATAATTGAATTATTGTGATGAATGTTGGTATTTATGAAAATAATTGAATTTTGCAAAGAATTTTATTAAAATGCCTCAAAATTGTTGAATTTTTGGGAATAATTTTGTTATTTATCGGCATAATTAAATTCTTTTAAAAAAGTATTTATGTTTAAATAATTAAATTCTGGGGAAGAATTTTATTAAAATCTAAAAAAATAATTGAACTATTTCAAAAAATTTAATTAAAATTGTATTTAAAATAATTGATTTCTTTCGAACAATTTTATGAAAATATTTGAAAATAATTGAATTCCTGAGAAAAATTTCAATATTTTTGTAAATAATTGAATTAAAAATAAATAAAAAAAAAAATAAAAAATAAATAAAAATAAATAAATATTAAATAATAATAAATAAATAAATAATAATAAAAAATAATAATAATAATAATATAATAATAATAATAATAAATAATATAATAATATATATATAATAAATATAATATATATATATAATATATATATATATAATATATATATATATAATATATATATATATATATATATATATATATATATATATATATATATATATATATATATATATATATATATATATAATATATATATATATAATATATTATAATATATAATAATAATAAATAATAATAATAAATAATTGAAATCCTGATATAAATTTTATTATTTATGAAAATAATTGAATAGTTTCTAAAAATTTTATTGAAATTTTCAAAAATAATTTAATTCCTGAGAAGAATTTTACTATTTATGAAAAAAATTGAATTATTTCGAAAAATTTCACTAAAATGTAAAAACAATTGAATTTCTGTAGAAAATTTGTTACTTTTGAAATTAATTCTTCAACAGAATTTTATAAACATTGTTGTAATTATAATTTTTTTTTTGAAATATGTGTCCTGGTCTATGAAAAGTGACCTTACGTTTTAAAAAATCATTTTTTACTTTTTTGTTGATTCGGATAGGGTTTGAAACGCTCTTTAAGATGGTGAAAACCAAAAAATGATAAGTTGATTAGAAGTTTTAAAAAAAATTTTTTAAGTTAAAAGAAACAAGAGTAAAAATACGAAAAAACTGATTTTTTGTTATTATACAAATTAAAATAACGAAGACGATAATTTTTTACTATTTAGAAAAGTTGACGGTTTCTTTGACAACTGTCAACAGTTAAAATTCAAATTTGATATCATAATATTCGTAATCAGCGACCTCAAAAACCTTATTACTGTCTTTTTTATAAAAAAACAATCACTTTTTTAGAGAGGTTGACAGCTGTCAACTGTCAAATTGTCAATTTAACATCATATTCGTAATCAGCGACCTCGAAAACCCTTACAAACATGTGTCACTTATTTATACTTATTGTTGCAAGTTAGAAAACTTAGATTTATTTTTCCTATGTTTGGGGAGTTTGTTATTAATTTATATAAACAATTATTAAAAAAAAATTTCCATTACTTGTATGTTATTTATTTAGATACTGTGATTCACGGTGAAGAAAATAAGCCTAAATTGATTAAAAAATATTAATATTTAAAAAAGTTACAAGGGTTTTTCTAAGTTAAACTTTAACTGCTGTTTTCTCGAAAACTTGTTTTCGCACGTAAGATCCCTTTTCACTGTCCAGGTCACATATAACAAATATTATTGAAAATTTTATTTTAAATAATTGAATTCTTGGGGAAAATTTTATTTTTAAAAATAATTGAAATGCTTCGACGAGTTTTATTATTTAAAAAAATAATTGAATTTTTGAAACGAATTTTTATTATATTTTTTTAAAATAATTGAAATCCTGTAAAGAATTTTGTTATTCAGAAAAATAATTGAATTCCTGCAACGAATTTTATTATAATTTTTGTAAATAATTTAATTTTTTTGAAAAATTTTATGGAAATTAAAATTCTTATAAAACATGAAGATAGACTCGGGGTGATTGGTATCTTCATGTTTTATATTAATATTCTTATAAGTTATTGAATTTCAAAAGGTTTGAATTAGAAATTTTGAAAATTTTAGTTCCCATAGAAAAATGAAAAATATTTTTAAAAAAATTTGTTTATTTTCGAATAATTTTATAATGAAAGAAATTTGTTAGTAAATGTAACAGAATGTTTTTTTTTTGAGTATCTAATAATTTTTGGAATGAAACAGAATAGAATGCTTCTTTAGAGTCAGGGAAAAAGTCAAAATTTTGTCTGGAAATCAGGAAAAAGCAAAATTAATTTTTTGTAGCAACCCTGTAAAATGAATTCAATTATTTTCAAAATTTGCTATTCGATAAATCTTCATTTTTTATGGAAATATTCCTGGAAAATTATTGAGATTTTCTCGAGAGTTAATTATTTATTTTATTCTTTTATACCACGAAATTCTAAGACGTAAACGCTTTGCGCCTGCTTCTCTTACTGATTTTTTAATATTTCGAAAATTGAGACACAATAAGGGTTATAAAAAATAACTACAAGGATTCAGTTCAATATATTTTTTAATGAAAATTATTCCAATTTTATAATCGAGACCGCTACGTGAAAGATCATTCAAATTTTTACAAAAAACACTCTTAACTTTTTCCATTTAATGTATATTTGAAGAAAAAGCAGCGCCTTTAAAATACTGCTTTTTTACGTTACAAAATTTGAGTCTCCCTCGCTTCACTTAAAAGTTCCCATATTAAACTATATACGGAAAAATTTTGGTTCATCGTCTACGCTGTCCACAGTTCAATTCTTGTACTAAATAACCGGGCGCAACTGCTATTCCGATTTTGTGCGTCAGATGCTCAAAAAGAGACTGATGTTATCCTCTTGTCTAGAAAACTGACAAAATACGTTCCTTTCGGACCACGAAAATTTGAACCGTCACAACGGATGAACTTTAACGCATAGTCGATGTACCCAAATTTGTTCCGTGTAGGAGAGGTAATTTTAATTTCTACAATTTTGCTCACGCTCACTCAGCAAAATGTGCTATGTGATTTGCCTCGTTTATTTATTATCGATTATATTTTTTAATTTACAATTTTATTTATTGTTTCACTTTTAGTTTTTACTATCAACCGTCTAGAGGATTATTTACCACTTACATAATCTTCGTTCCAGATTTTAAGAAAATATAGAAGAAGCGATATTTGGCCAAATCGTCGTGTCGATTGCATAAAACAAAATGTTGCTTTATAAAATTTTACATTTGACGGTATAAAAGATAAACCAAAAAATAAGTAGTTGGCCATTTGTGTACCTTAATGTGGTCAGAGCGGATACTTTGAGTTAGCGTCACTACCTTCGTAACTAAGGGAATATATAATTTCACATTTCAGTTTGCTAAGTTGCCAATCAATAGGAATTGCAGACTTCTTAAATATTTCTACAGGAATACAAGTAGTTTTAATAGATTGGTTTATAACTCTTTGCAATGTCCTCCTCTTTGGAAGGACCTTGTAGTCGGAAGGGCTCTTTTCTGTAACGAAGTATATAAATCACTTTAACAGTATTCATTGTAAACATAATAATAAATATTAAAACGATTTTCTAATTTTACTTTTCCCAAACAATTATATGTACAATTATGAACAACAACTTAAGTATAATCACTGCTTATTTAAGCAAACGTCAACATTAAGTTAAAAGTGCTAAGTAGCAAAAAGTGATGCGTATCATTGCTAACTCAAAGCTCCTTCTCTGAACCTTTAATAGAAGAGTTTGAGAAAACTAAAGTTTGTCCAGTGACTCCTTAGTGGTCATTGTAAAAAACAGGCCGTTGTATTATACAGATTACTGTACATGAGTAATTCTCAACGCAGACCCTCTCTGGATCCAAGTTTTCTTAAATCTAACAATAAGACTAGACCTCACGTAGTACTAAAACTTTCCTGGGCTGAGATTACGAATAACTTATAGGTAATAAAGCGGCGATTGTTGCTGCTTTCAAAGAGAACTGTGTTTCAATTTTAATTAAATTTAATGCAAATTGATTATTATCTAAATCGCGCAAGTGTTCAATTTGCTATGAATTTTATTATCAATGTCACAATTCTTTGTGTTAAATAGCAAAAGCAGCGTAAATAAGCGTTACTCCTAATCGCAACACAGAATAATTAATAAACTCTACAAACGCAATTTTTAAATGTTCAGTTTTTGCCATTATCCGCAAATGTTCACAAGAAGGAGAATATTTTATAGGAATACAATTTGGAATAAGAATAGATAATCTGTTCTCGGTACAAACCGTTGATATTTAAATTGTCACTACATACAAAATATTTCATTTCTTTTTAATTTTAGTTAATTAAAAAAGAAGCTCTAGTAAAAAATAAAACTAAAATAAGCATAGCCGATCAATTTTTCTGCTACTTTTTTCAAAGTGATACACTCCATCTATAATTTAATTTAACCCTTTCGTGCCTCCGGGACATGTTTGGTGTAAATTTCTTTCCATTCCGAATGGCCGCTGCTACAATTAAAAAAATAATAAATTACGTAGTACGATTATAATTATTATAAACAATAGTTTAAGTATTTATAAGAAAATAGCGAAATCTAATTTTTCAAAATTTTCTCCAATTCGCTTAAAACTTCTTACTCACGGATTTTCGGGGTCTCTGATTACGAATCTAAAGTCAGATTTTCAAAATTAAAAATGGTGGACTTTTTTCAAATGTGCTTTTAAATTCACTTGAAACTTGTTACTCGGCGTTTTTCAGGGTTGTCATTTTAAATTTCGAAAATCTGACTTCAGATTCGTAATCAGCGACCCCGAAAACCGCTGAGTAACAAGTTTTATGTAAATTTGATCAGTTCTGAAAAAATGTCCGCCATATTGAATCCACCATTTTGAATTTTCAAAATTTTGAAAATCTGACTTCAGATTCGTAATCAGCGACCCCAAAAACCCCTGAGTAACAAGTTTCAACAAAATCCAATCGCTGGGTTTCTCGAGGGCACGAAAGGGATAATAGAAACTAAAAGAAATAATTTTATTTGTCGTTAAGTTGAAACCAAAACTTTAAGTACGTGAATTTTTATAAAAAGTAATCTATCGATAATGATATGTATTTACAACATCCCTTCGACGTTAAATTTAGCAAATTTTTTAAAAGTCTTTGGTTTGACCGATCTACTTGGTTTTCTGTTAAAATTCTATTACCTATTTTCAAAACATTTTTGGACAGTGTTGAAAAAAATATATTGAACATTTTTTCTTCAAGTGCATTAGATCATTTTTTGTTAATGGCAAATTGTTTAGATTTATAATAAAATTAAAAATTTAACGATCACTTAGAATCGAAAATTCTTTTCGACAGTATATGGCTGACCTCGAAAAATCGTATAAAATTTAAATATTGATGACGATTTATCGAATGCTTGTTTACTTTCTTTTCTATAATAGATTTTTCAAAATTAACAATAAATATTATCAAAAAATATGTGGCACTCCTATGGATTCGACTATCTCTAGATTCCTTTCAGATATAAAATCAGACTTTGGAACTATTTGTAACAATAAATTATCCTTCAAACTGATATTTTTCTATAGATATGTTGATGACATTATTGCTATTAGCATACTGAGGAGTAAAATTCAGAAAATTACTAAAATCATGGATAATTATGATTAGAGATTTCAATTCACATATATGTTACGCGATGTGAAGAAAGGGACCTAAGAAGAAAACGAATTATAGGTTATGTTTACGGCAGATTTATCTTGATTAAAAGTTTCTTTTTGTTTCTTTAAAATTAAAATAAGAGATTATAAAATTTGATTCTCTTTGTATATTTTTAATTAAAACTTTTAAAACATGATCTATAATTTTTGACTTTCTTCGTCTCTTTCTTCATATCGCGTCACATTGTATATAAGTAGCAACAAGTAACAGTAACTAACTTTTTAGATATGTTCTTATAATAACCGAAAATAAAAAATATATTAACACAGAAACTTTCTTCATATACAAAATAATAAAAAAAATACTTCTCAACAATAATTATTCCATCGATTTGGTTAACAAATATACCAAGAAACGTATTTATTCTATAGAATCTCATTCACAAAAAACAATAAAAATTCAATATACGAAACACTTCCGCAAGTTTTTTGACTTAAGTTCCTAAACTTTATGCGAACAAATTTCTTCCATTATCTAAACAACTATAACATTTTAACTAGTCCAATAAGTAACAACAATATGAATCATAATTTGATAAAATAGAAAAGAAACAGAATTTTAGTTTATTTCATTTCTCACTGAGGAAAATATTCAAAGTTTAAAATCTTGATATTAAAAATATTTTCTATTAATAAACTATTTCTGAAGAGGGCAGCCGTATTGTCGGAACGTAATAAAATTTTGTTACTTTTATTTCCTCGATTCGGACTGATTATTAAATTTTTAATTATATTATTAAAAACTTATATTTATTTATATTTATACTTTATTTTTGAAATTGGATCACTTAAAAAATTTTGTTCCATACAAAATAGATACTTATTTCTTCATTTTATCTTCAACTAGAGTTACCACCTTCTTCTTACTTCAACTATAATTTTATGTCATGTTGGCGTAAAGGCGATGGTGGAAGGCAAAAACCATGCGAGTGAAAAAGTTAACAGATATCCCCATTTCTGTCACACACATGGTTTTTCCTTCGAAGCTTTTCGACCAACATGGAACGTTTAAAGCTCCTTCTAATTATTGTCAGATTAAGAAAGTAATTTACCACAAAATATTTATGCCAAAGTGGGCTATTAGGAAAAACCTCTTTACGAATTTATGACTTATTAAATGCACCTCCCACCAGCTACAGTACTTTTATGTGCACATGTGCTTGGATTTTTTGGTACCTTGACCGACTCTGAAGAAGTCAAGTCAAACCCGATTAAAAAATATTAATATTTAGAAAAGATACAGTGGTTTTTGTAAGTGGGACGTATATGTCCCGCAGGCGTTAAAGGGTTAATTACAGTTTTCATTACTTTTATATATTAAAAATTTTTTTTATAGTTTACTTTTATTTTTTTTGGGTACCTTGACCGATTCTGAAGAAATAAAGTCAAAGCCGTTTAAAAAATATTAATATTTAAAAAGTTACAGTGGTTTTTGTAAGTGGGACAAATATGTCCCGCAGGTTTTAAAGAGTTAAATTTCGCTTTGTTGGTGAAAGACTGATTGGGGTGGTACCATCTGTAGTTTTTTCTCTTGAAGGCCAAGGATTCGTTACATTTAAGTAAATCTGTCTATTAAATCGGTTTGTTAAAAATTAACAAAACTGTTTAATTATCACCATTGAAATAGGAGTCACCATCACTATCCATTTCTCTCCGTGTTATATTAGGGTCACTATCCTCCCTGACACTATAATTCTCTTCAAGTTTTTCTCTATTTTAACTTTATAATTCCATAAAATATTCAGGGTTCCTTCATATAGTGAACATTTGCATGAGCAAAGTGTGTCGATAACTGAACATCTTGAAATTGAGTCTGCATTGTTCAGAAAATATTCAAGAAATTCTTAGTGCTGTAAGGACTGTTTTGATTACATCAGATATTAAAGTTATAATGTATTAATAATATGTATTGCGTAGCCGTAAATAACATAAAAAAATACTGCGCACAAATTGCAATTAAAACTTCTATTAAACTATGTAAAAATACTTCAACAATATCATACCATTTCGGTAAAGAAAATTAATATCTTTGTTAGACGAATGAGAATCTTTAAATGTTTTAACAAGTTAAATAATAATACTTGAAAAATCGCATCATTTTAATGTTAATAGAGAGAACTTTAAATATCATATTAAATTAACTTTGAGCTGTTGTTTTCTTTAAGAATTTATATTAAAATATCAACGACTTTGCACACGACTTATCATAAAACTTTACACGATATATTTGACTTGTTTAATTTTTGTACTTTCACACTAAGTTCGTTACTTTCATTAGAATTGATATTATTGAGTACAATAATTTCACGAACGATGTTCCGTGAAAAAGACTGTGCGTTGAAAATAGAATTAAAGGACGTTGCGCAAGTCCAGGGAATATCACTATTGAGAGATACTAGGATAAGTAAAATGAGGCATCCGTAAGCACCACTTGTAAATTGACTACTTCCACTTGTCTGATTTTCACTCGTTGATATCTGTATTGGATGTTCCTGATGGGAGACGCGGTCCATTTGCTGACTCCCAGTCCATGGATCGCCCACTGTGTCCATAATATTCTTCTTGCTGTTTGTTGCTGTGTTATCTGATATTTCATCTTCCAGGGTGATAGGTCGTCTGGGATTGTCCTTGTCCAATCCCTCGTCTATTTCTAAGGAAGACTCAGTCCCATAAAACACCAACTTCCATTCTTCGAGATCTGCAACAATGTTATTTACTTCACATAATTGTAACAAATAAATTGTTTGGAAGTCCAAAAACATACATGTGCAGGTTCTCTAACATCAAATCACGTGCATTATTTCACGTAGTACATCAATACAATTCTCTAGGAAATGGTCTAATAAAAACCTAAAATAATTCTAGTTGAATTTTAACGTCTCGTCTCGTCAAAACATTTCTTTTACATAACAACTTGGGAGTCATAAAGTTCTGGCTGATATATGTGTAGTGCATCAGGTACACAGTCTTCTTGAAAGTACCAAGATCTTGGCTATTAGGAAACATAATCAAAGAGTAACGTATTTCCAGGTTCTGGTGTATAATTAATAAAACAATAATTTATTCATTAATTATAAAAATAATAGTTAACATATCGAACTATTTGGAGCAAATTTCTTTGATTCGATTATGAAGCAACAAAAATGTTTCAAACTCATAAAATTGTTACACTCAGAAGCAAAACACTCAAAGCAGTTTAGCGATTTCTGTGTAATTATAGCGTACAAACTTTTGTGGCAGGCACATACATGCACAAACAAACGAAATTTTAGGTGAGTATTATTAGATTCCTTTATATGTTCTAAACACAATTTTTGGGAAATTGTTTTATAATAAAAGACTTATGTGAAGTCTTTTATAGAATTCTTGGTTCCCAAGAATTTTACAGTGAAAACTGGATCACAAATATATTTTAATTTCATGATGCTCGACTAAATTTTTAATATAGACTTTCCAAGTCATGTGATACTATCTTATTCTATAGCTTTGTTGACACCACAAAGTCGGCCCATGTTTTGACACTTACTGTTTAAAAGTCTGGGCTAATAGACACACAGTCGCATGCAAAGGTATCATCAATTTTTGTTCTTCCTGAAGGCAAATTTTATTCCTACTATTTTCAACAAATCTCTGAATTGAAATAATTATAGACACTTATTTGGTTACCGATAAAATTTAAGGGGGGTACACCAGTTGTAACTTTCAAAAATCGAATGTTTTACATTGTCCGAAACTTTAGAAGTAAGTCTGTAATATTTAAGATAAAAGATGTAAAAAAATGCAGAGATAAAATAAATATAATGTATAAATATACCTTATACCGTAAAAAGAAAATAGCAGGGCTCGAACTAGGTCCGTAAATTTGCTTCAAGTTCGTAAAAGTCAGTTTCTTTTAAAAAAGATCCGAAAAGACCGTAATTTGATAGAAAAAGGCTAAAAAGTTCGTAAATGTACGATATAATTTGGAGAATTTTAGAGAAATTACAAATGATTGTACTAATTCAATTATTTTCAAAAGTAATAAAATTATTCGCAGAAATTCAATTATGTTCAAAATTTCTTTTTAACTTTTCGTCAAAATTTCAATTATCTCTAAAAATAATTAAATTCTTCTCTGAAATTCAATTATTTTCAAAAATGTTCTCAATTCAATGATTTTCAATATTTACTATTTTTTTCAAATTTTCCAAAAGAATTCAATTATTTAAAAAAAAATTATTTTGTTTTAGAAAAAGAAGAAAAATATTTGCACAATTCCTATTTTTAATCTTATTTTTGGAACAGGATTTTCCACAGGAATTAAGACATTCAAAAATTTCAAATTCAAACCTTTTTTTAAATTACACAACTTATAAAAGTATTTGTTATAAAATATGAAGATATCGATTGCTCCGAGTCGAAGACTCGGAGTGATCGATTTCTTCACGTTTTCTAATAATTAAAAAATGAACGAGAGATAAAATCATTATTTTATATTATAAGAATAATTGTTACTGTAACTTCATCAAAATTATTTTCATCATTTTAATTCAATTATTATTTTCTAGAATTTTAAATTATTTTTTATGAAAATAATAATTGAATTCCTTAAAAAAATTTTATTATTTATGAAAATAATTGAATTGCAATCAAATTTTTATTATTTATGAAAATAATTAAATGTTTGCATAAAATTTTATTAAATTTTTTTTTAAATAATTGAATTTTTTTTGGGAAATTTTATTAAAATAGTAGATATTGAAAATCATTAAAATTAGAAAATTTTTGGAAAATTATTGAAATTAGGACAAGAATTTTTTTGACATTTATGAAAATAATTGAAATTTGGAGAAGAATTTTGTTATTTATAAAGATAATTGGGATTTTTACGAGATTTTTTTCAAATTTGGAACATAGTTGAATTTTATAAGAAAAATTTTATTTTTTCTTCAAAGAATTGAATTTCTGCAATTATTTGAAAATTCTATTATTTTATTTAAAAATTTTTTCAAAAAAATCAATTTTGTTTTTAAATCAGATTTTTTATTTTATAAATATATTTTAATAAAATTTTTTTAAAATAATTGCACTTTTCGCGGAATTCATTAAAAATTGTATGAAAATATAATTGAAATTCTATAATGAGTTTTATTATTTATAGAAATAATTGAATTTTTGCATCGATTTTAATTGAAAAAAAAATTAAATTCTTAAGAAAAATGTTATTATTTAGAAATTTAATTGAATTCTTGCCCAAAAAATTGATTAAAACCTTTTAAATCTTTTAAATTTTACAAACAATTTTATTATTTTTGAAAATAATTTAATTTCTCAGAAGAATTTTATTATATTCATGAAATTAATTGAATTCTTCCAAAAAATTGATTAAAATCTTTGAAATAATTGAATTTCTCACAAGAAGTTTCTTACTTATGAAAATAATTGAATTTTCATGAAGAATTTTGTTAACATTTTCAAAAATAATTGAATTTTCCTGAAAAATTTAATTATTTATAAAAATAATTGAAATCTCCTAAAAAATTTACTTATTTATAAAAATAATTGAATTCTTTACAGGAATTTTGATTTAAATCTGTGAAATAATTCGAATGTTGCAAAGAATTTTATTATTTTTCGAAATATTTGAATTCATCAGAAGAATATTTTATTATTTTTTGAAATACTTGAATTCGTCAGAAGAATTTTATCATTTATGAAATTAATTGACACCAGATTTGTTCCTGTAAATGCTATCTATAAATCTAGTTATCCACCGTGGTTTACATTTGAACTTAAAAAACTGGTTCTTGAAAAAAAGATTGCGCATGCTCATTATATGAAATTTAAAACAAATGATAATTATTTAAAATTTTCTAATTTAAGATCAAGATGCAAATCTTTGTCAAATACATGCTATAATAATTATATTTCTAATACTGAGAATTCGATAATTGACTGTCCGAAAACATTTTGGAAATATGTTAACACTAATAGGAAAAATCAACGTCTACCTAATTTTATGAATTTTGGTAAAGAGTCAGGTGATAGTCCTGTCAAAATTGCAAACCTTTTCGCTACGTTTTTTAGTTCTGTTTATACTACGCCATTTCAAGATTTAAATAATAATTCTAATGTTACAGGTTCGATGGATTTAAATAATATGTATTTTTCAAGGGAGGAAATTTTATCTAAATTAAAAAATCTTGATATCAGTAAGGGGGCGGGATCTGATAAGATACCTCCATCATTTCTTCGTTCTTTTTGTTATTCTTTGGTCGAGCCTTTACACATTTTATTTAATTTATCATTACGTTGTTGTATATTTCCTTATGAGTGGAAAAAGGGCATTATTGTACCGATATATAAAAGTGGAAGCAAAAATGACATTGCAAATTATCGACCTATAACAATTCTTAGCGCTATACCAAAGGTTTTTGAAAGTTTGATACACGATTCTCTTTACTTAGCTACATCAAATATTATTATTGATGAACAACATGGTTTTGTTAAAGGAAGATCATCGATTACTAATCTTGCTTTGTTTACAAACTCACTTGCGTTGGATCTTGAAATGGGGAAACAAGTTGATGCAATTTATGTGGATTTTTCTAAGGCTTTTGATAAGGTGGATCACAACATACTTTTACGCAAGCTGAGAATCATGGGCATGTCTGAAAATTTAATTAATTTTTTTAAAAGTTATCTTACGGATAGACCTCATATGGTGAGAGTTGAACATGACTATTCTGATGCGTTTAAATCTACCTCGGGAGTTCCTCAAGGGTCTCATCTCGGTCCTTTATTGTTTGTTTTATATATTAACGATATAAAATTTGTTTTTAAATATTCCAAATTTTTGTTGTACGCAGATGACCTGAAAATTTTTAAAGCAATTAATGCAAATAACCCTTGTCTCGATTCTAAACAACTCAGGTTAGATCTTAAACATCTTATAGTTTGGTGTAAGAAAAATCATTTGACCTTCAATTTAGATAAGAGTGTAGTAATCTCATTTGCGAGGAAAATCACATTTGTATATAGTTATACTGTGGGTTCAAGTGAATTAAATAGAGTGACTCAGGTTCGAGACTTGGGGGTTTTGATTGGTAAAGATCTCAATTATAATGAACATATCTCCGAAGTTATCTCTAAATCTTTAAAATCTCTGGGATTTGTAATGAGAAATGCATCTGCTTTTCATAATCTATCAGCGTTAAAAACTTTGTATTTTTCATTGATCAGATCAATAGTAGAGTATGCTATAGTCATTTGGGTGCCATATTACACATATAATATTATAAGATTTGAACGCATTCAGAATAGGTTTCTTCGTTTCATTGCGCGTCAACTTCACATACCATTTGATTTTCATGCTCATGATTACTGCAGCTTGCGTTCTGTGCTCAATATACCAAGGGTTTCTTTAAGATTCCTATATATTGATTTATCATTTTTATATAAATTATTTAATGGATTCTTTAATTGTCAGTCACTTATATCACTAATTAATTTACGTGTGCCACTAAGACCTTCTAGGTATTTTTCTTTATTCTCTGTTCCATTTCATAGAACGAATTATGGAAATCATTCTTTGATGACCAGGCTTTGTAGAGAAGCAAATGATGTTTATAATGATATTGATTTTTTTGATCGTAACTCTATGAGATTTCACACACTTTTGCGTCAGCTTGTTTTTAGAGATATGTAGTTCACTATTTTAAGTTCAGCTACTTATGTTTCATTTTTGAAAATATTTAGTAATTTTGCTTAGTGCAATAAAATTAGTATTAAGAGTACTTTGTACGAAAGGGCACAGTCCCGTTTACTACTTAAATAAATAAATAAATAAATAAATTGAATTTTTGTGAAGAATTTTTTTAACATTTTAAAAAATAATTGAATTCCCCTAAAGATTAAATTATTTCTAATTTCTCCAAAATTAAATTTTTTTTTAGTGTTTTCAACAAAAATTTAAAATAGAATATTTTTAAATTCTATTATTTTTAAAATTGCTAATTTTATTTTAAAAAGGTAGTAAGAAGTTAGCCACGCGCTTTAGCGCGCGAATTATTGCTAGTTTAATTTATAGTTTTAAGTAAAATGTTCTTTTATATGACTCGGACCCCTAATATTTTTGTCAGTAATTGGTCCGTAAATGGCCAGTAATTTTTTTTTTTTGGTTCGTATTAATAATAATTGGTCCGTATTTTTAAATACTTTTACTGGCTCGAGCCCTGAAATAGTGAAAAAACAGGGGAAATTTAAAGGACTACATCAATTTTCATCAACTTCGCAGCTGAAGGAAGATTCCAAAGGATGCAGTCAACTTAATTTCAACTTTTACAAAATTTCCGGTGCTGTATGGGTCAGGAAAAAATTGTATTTTAAAAAAATTTAGTGTTTTAAAAAAAACTCTTGAAAAAGGTTTTTTTTCACCTTACAACTGGAGAACCCCTCTTCCAACTACTTTCCGTTTGGTCCTTTTAAAATATGGAGTTAAAAAAATAATCCCTACTTGAAAATTATTAAGGAATGTTTTTCAGGTTTTCACCCTTGTGTATCTAAGAAAATCATGCTGCAGTCTTAAATAGATTGTTTGGGTACCCTTATTAAGTTGATGATTTCTTGAGTTAAACTGTTCGTCTTGCAACAAATCCAGGCCCTTTGCTCTGGTAGCGTGCTGACCCATCATTATTGTCTTGTCGTAAACCGGGTAAAGGGGATAAAGTTGCTGGATTTTCGGATATTGCTGGAACACCTTTGGTACGTTATTGGTTGCAGACTTGATGGCTGGTTCCATGAGAATAAGGCCTTGTCGTCTAGAAGACTCAGTCGCAATTGCAGTCGAATTGGCTCTCGATATTGGGCGGTAGGTCCACGACTTCGTTGTCGGCGCAATGACAGTGGCGTTTTTCATTGGATTCGGAGTGCTTTGGCATCGTGCTTTCGAGTTATTCATTCGCACCCCACCTCCTGTTTTAGGGGCGCAGACGACAGACAAACCGCGCATTGTTTGCACGGTGGGACTACCCGTCGGCCTATTCACCATTTTCACATTTTTATTGTGACCACGAGTTTTACTTTTTCTCTGCGTTTGACCCGAATTGTTTGCTCCGAAAGGTGAATTCACACTCGCTTGTATTTTCTCAGATTTGTACTGTTGCGTTTGCTTGTTTCTCGGGACATTTCCTAATAAGAAATTTTGGTTTTTCAAGAACTTCGTATCTTTAGATTTGACGAATGGCTTACGTGGCACATTGATAACAGACGGATTGGAAAGCTGATAGTCAGTTCGATCGTTCAGGGTGGCCGTTCCGTAAAAAATTAAAGCCCATTCGTGAAGCGTTGCACGACCTAAAGATGGTGTATTCAAAAATAGTGTTTTCAAGTGTTTTGACTCTTATCAATATTTTTCATTTCTTTAATAAATATTTGTTTCTTTATATTGTCAAACAAACACTTTTGCTATTAATTCAATCAAATTCTCGATTGACTAGAAATTAAATCATTATTACTTAAGTTATAGTTTTATAAATTACCCTTATTCTCGAGAGATGGATTCAAACAAAAGATTCTTTATAACAAGAATAATGTCGAACTCTTGTGCGAAAAATATCTGAATAGTTCTAACTTTGAAAAAGTCAAAGTATAATAATTAATCTGATTAGATTTTGTTCCATTATTTTAATTTTAATATGTTAGTACGGTTATGAGTAAAAGCAAGAATTGATTATAGTGGTTAAAGGTTGACAGAGGAAAAGAGACTAAATTGACATGAACCACTAAGATGGTTTTATTTAAAACCTAGATAGAAACCATAAAAACTTACCTAGATATTTCCCTTCGTTATGAATTTCCAACTTCCATGTGCCGTGAGGTCTCTCTCCCCAAGTGTGAACCGACATAAATGGCCACTGGTTGAAACCTGCTTTGGAAAAGTCATGAGGCCTTTTTGCTAGTAAAATACTTTTTGTACCTTGGGGAGACGTTAGATAAATCTCCAAGTCGCCTCTTCTTGAAGCCGACAGGGACACCTTCGCCTATTGTTTAAATAAATATTTAATATTAATTAAATAAATAATATTTAACTGTTTCTAAAATTTGCTCTTTTACCTGAACGTGCTCTAAAAAATTCACTCCTCTGCATTCCTTTACGTCTAACATAAGAGTCAGGTGACTCTTCGGAGGGATTGGCCTGCAAGCAGTGAACAATTTAAAATTATATATTATCAGTGGCAAGAACTTCGTGTGTCTTGACCTTGATTGAATGCCTTTAGGCAAAAATCAGACTACGTCCATTTAATTTCAATGGTCTGTCTAGTTCTTGCATCAAGGGGTTCAATTATAAATACGTCGATTACTTTTGATAAGAGGAAATTGAATTTCAGCAAAAAAGATTTTTTTTAATATTAGATAAACATTATTTTTCAATAGGAAAAATTGATGGGTTTAGAAGTCTTAAAATTAGTAGACGACTGTAATATAATAATAAAGCAAGACACTGCAATTAAAATTTGGATTATTTCAATTTTTAAACTTACCGCCCCCCTTGAGATGACAATACTTCACAGTTATGTTGTTCAGCTACTGTTTTCCACTTGCGGGCTAATCGTACCATCGCGGCGGCATCCATTAGACCGTAACCAAAACTGTGGCTCACTGTTAATAAATATAAACTAATAAGCGTTCGTAAAGGAAATTTTATTTAACAGATACATAGTCAATGAAGCTACTGTGATTCTGGCTGAACATTATTAGAACTTCATGTTAGTATATATGGTAAGATAATTACGCATAAAGCTAACTTTTCTTTAAAAAAATTGTAATGTTTTTTTAAAATTGTATTTAACTTTTTATATTGTATTTGACTTCTTTATATATTCAATCTACTATTTTCAAAGCACAGTAATTTTCCTTGCCGTCAAGACAGAAATATAATTACAGACTTCACATTCGATAATTAATTTTAAAAAAGTAGCAAAAAGTAGCTTTCAAACTAAAAAAAAGTAGTAAAGGAGTAGCTATCGAAAAATTAAACTTGACGACCAAAAAAACTCGTTTTAGACACTTCACAAAACTGACAAAAAATACATTCCATATTTTTTATTTTCCTGACTATTTCCTACATTTCATCAAATTTATTTACTTCTTTCTTATCGTGATAATAAATTCAATTCTTGCAACGAATTTTATTATTCATCAAAGAATTTAAATATTTATAAAAATAATTGAATTCTTGAGAAGAATTTTATTAAAATTTTTAAATAAGTGATTTCTTTCGACTAATTTTTATGCAAATTCTAATTTAAATAATTGACTTCCTAAGAAATTTTTATTATTCATGAAAAGAATTGAAGTTAAATTTTACAAAGAATTCTATTAAAATTTTTTAGAATAATGGAATGTCTGTGTGGCATTTTATTAAATTTTTTTGAAAATAATTGAATTCCCAAAAAAACATTTTATTATTTATCAAAATAATTGAATTCTTGCGAACAATCTTATTAGAATTTTTTAAAATAATCGAATTTCCAAGAAGAAAATTATTACTTTTAAAAATAATTAAATTATTGTGATGAATATTGTTATTTATGAAAATAATTGAATTTTGCAAAGAATATTATCAAAATGCCTGAAAATAATTAAATTTTCTGGAATAATTTTGTTATTTATCGACATAATTGAATTCTTTCGAAAAATTATTTATGTAAATAACTGAATTCTTGGAAAAAATTAATTAAAATCTAAAAGAATAATTTATTGAATTATTTCAAAAATTTCATTAAAGTTGTGTTTAAAATAATTGATACCTTTTGAACAATTTTATTAAAATGCATAAATGAATTTCAGTGAAAAATTCTAATATTTTTGTGAATCATTGAATTGTTCCAAAGCATTTTTAAAAAATCATTTTTTAAGCAATGCCTGTAAAATTTTATTAAAAATAATTGCAATCCTGCGATGAATTTTATTATTTAAGAACATAATTGAATAGTTGCTAAGAATTTCATTAAAATTTTCAAAAATAATTGAATTCTTGTGAACGATTTTACTAGAATTTTTTAAAATAATTGAATTTTCAAGAAGAAATTTACTACTTTTGAAAATAATTAAATTCTTGTAATGAATATTGTTATTTATGAAAATAATTGAATTTTGCAAAGAATTATATTAAAATGCCTCAAAATAATTGAATTTTCGGGAATAATTTTGTTATTGTTATTAATAATTGAATTCTTGTAAAGAATTTTATTAAAATCTAAAATAATTATTGAATTATTTCAAAACAATTAATTAAAATTGTATTTAAAATAATTGATTTCATTTGAACAATTTTATTAAAATATTTGAAAATAATTGAATTCCTGTGAAAGATTCTAATATTTTTGTAAATAATTGAATTCTTCCAAAGAAATTTTAAAAAAATCATTTTTTTTAAATAAATGATTTTTTCGAGGAATGGAAATAAAATTTTTAAGAATAATTACACTTTTTAGCAACTTTTGTAAAATTGTATTAAAAATAATTGAAAACCTGCGATGAATTTTATTATTTATAAAAATAATTGAATAGTTGCTAAGAATTTTTATGAAAATTTTTAAAAATAATTGAATTCCTCAGAAGAATATTATTAGTTTCGAAAATAATTAAATTATTGCGAAAAATTTTATTTAAATGTTTAAAAAGAATTGAATTTCTGTGAAAAATTTTGTTACTTTTGAAAATAATTGAATTTTTCATGAGAATTTTATAAACATTGTTTTAAATAATTAATTCTTTCGAAATCTAATAAATATTATGGAATTTTTTTTAAGTAATTGAATTCTTAGTTATGAAAAACTTTATTTGTAAAAATAATTGAATTTTTCGATTAATTAATTTAAAATAGTATTAAAAATAAGTGAATTCTTGCTTAGAATTTTATCAAACATTTTTTTTTTAAATGAATTTCTAAGAAAAATGTTATTATTAGTGAAAGTAATTGAATTGTTGTGAAGAATTGTATAAAAATTTTGTTAAATAAATAATTGATTTTTTTGAAAATGCTATTCTAAATTAATTGATTTCTTGTGGAAATTTTATTATTTATACGAAAATAATTGAATTTTGGATGAATTTTATTAATTTATTTTTTAAATAATTGAATTCTTTTGCGAAATTTGATGAAAATACTAGATATCGAAAATAATTGAATTTCGAATATTTTTTTGAAAATAATTGAATCGTTTTAAAGAATTTGATTAGAACTTTTTCGAATAGTTTTTTGATTTCTAGTATTAGCGAATTTAAAGTAGTGAAAATTCTAAAAAAACAGAAATAGTAGCCTTAAGTGGCTGAGATCTAAAAAAAAGTACCCAAATAGTAGCATAACGTAAAAAAGTAGTAAATAGTAGGTTTCAGTAGATGAGTGCAAAGCCTGTAATTATTCTACTGTATTTGTCAAATGCTTTATTATTTTGAAGAACATTTAAATAATTAAATGAATGTGGGTACTACTGAATTGAAGTTAAGTTTTTAAATTTAAAAATCTATATGTAAAAGAATTATTTATGACTTACTGAATGTTAGATTAAATACGGAATTCTAAGAATGCTTATCCAGTAGTCTGATAAATAAATTTGCAAAATGGTCAAAAAAAACTTTAAAATACAAGAAAAAGGTTTATTCTTAATGTAGGTTTTCTAAAAGTAAATTCATATACCATTTCGTCCAATTCCGTTCGTGACCCAGTCGGAGGAATTCAAGTTTGCAGGTTTCGCCGTTCGAACAACAATATGCTGCATGTCTCTCCATGTTAAATTTCTATTCGCTTCGAGGGCAAGAGCACAAATGCCGGCAGCTAATGGAGCGGATGCTGAGGTTCCTGTATGACTGCTCGTACAATGATGGTGCAAGTCGGTAGTTACGACCTGTTTTTCATTTGACAACCCGGAGCTGTAAGTTGTTGCTAATGTCGATGAGCACTTCTCACTATACCAAGGTACGAAACCATTCTCCGTTGCACTGCTGATGGAAAGTGTCCATATGCTATTAGTGTACCCATCACAATTGCAATTATCGTAATCCCTGCCGCCGTTTCCAGACGCCCAAATAAATATTGATCCTTTACCACCTCGACCCTTAAACAAAGGAAAGACTATTTTTTAATTTTCTGATACATCACCATAAATGGTTATAAATTATTATTAGTTATTCTCTTGGAGAAAATCAGAGTAATTTAGGATCAATTAGAGTAATTAATTAAAGTAACTCAGGATAATTACCTTAGTAATCCCTTCAATAAAAGCTCTTGTAGCTAATTCACCTGGTCCATCGACTGTTTTTCCATCGTCATCTGGACCCCAAGAAGCACTATAAATATCAATGTGTTGCGGATTTAAGCTCAAAGATCGTGCTTCGACTGCGTCCGTCACATCTCCATCCAGCATGCGGACTCCTTAGAATAAATAAATTAATTTATAACACAAACTAAATTCGAAGCTACCGAAATAAAATCTTTTGATTTATAGAAGAGGTAGCAAACTTTATCTAGTCTAACCCTTTCAGTCCCAGTGGTCGATATATCGACCACCTTTTAAGCCACCGATTTTTTTAACATAACTTAGAGGAAAACTTTTAATAATTGCATATTTCTTATTTTTATGTTTCTACAAATAGGGTTTAGTAGTTTTTTAACAAATTAATCTATATTATTTATGCTTTTTGTTATTAACAAACTTATACACGGTAACGCATTATTTCAGGTTAAACTTGACTGTAAAAAAATTAAATCAGTAACATATACTTTAAATTATGGTTATTTTCTAAATTCTTGGGGTTTGCTGAATATTAATCTAAAATCAGATATGCAAATTCAAAATGGTGGATCCAATATGGCGGACAAAAATTAAAAATTAAACAAATTTGCTTAAAAATTGTCTCTCGGGGGTTTTTTGGGTCGTTGATTACAAATTTAAAGTCAGTTTTTAAAAATTCAAAATGACGGATCCAATATGGCGGAAAAAAATTAAACAAATTTACTTGAAAATGGTCTCTCGGGGGTTTTTGGGGTCGCTGATTACGAATCTAAAGTCAGTTTTAAACAATTAAAAATAGTGGATTCATAAATCCATATGGCGGACATTAAAAGTTACGAATTTGGAAACACCTTCCTCTATTTTAATACGGGCTTGGAACTGACAATCGCATAGTTTCATTTCTTTTCTTTAAAATTTTTTTTTTAATGTTTTTTTAAAAAGGCCGTAGCAGTATAAGCATGTAAAAAGTGCCCCCTCTTGGATTGGGTCCATATTTAGGGAATGATTTTGACCTATTATGAGACTTATTTTCACCAAGTTTCAACTCGAAAAAAAATTTTGCTTTTGAGTTATACAATTTTTTTGAAAAATTCAAAAAAATTCAAAAATTTTTTTTCCCTCTAAAATAGCTGAACCGATTTTCATGAAACAATTTTTTTTGTACAATATAGTACAATATGAACAGGTGATAAAAAAAAATTGTCGACCAAATTCAAACAAAAAAAGTCTGTAAAAAGAAAATTTTTTAAAAATTTTTTTAAAAAAACATTTTTTTTTATTGAAATTTTTTATGCACAACCGCCATTTTTTTCTGAGTCATTCCATTATATTTCGACTGATTTCGACTAAAGTCGTTGCCGACTAATTTTAAAAAATTGTAATATTTTGCAGGAATGATTTTAAAGATATTAGGATCACCGAAGAAAAAGAATTTTTTAAATATTTTTTATATTTGTTGTAAAATAAGCATCTAAAGTATATGAAGTCGTAAAAACTATCACATTTTCATCTAATAGAAAATATTAAAGAAAACACATAATTTACTATAAAAACGTAAAAAAATTATTAGAATTTATTAAGAATGAATTATTTTATTATTATAAATTGATAGAAACAATTATTAATAAGAAATATTAAATAAAAAATAATTTTAAAGTTTACCTGGCAAATAACCTATTTTTGCAAATTTCATTCACTAAATATGAGAAAGAGAAATCATTAAATTGGATAAAACCTTATGAAATACAAAGTACCTGTGATTAACTTTTAGTTTTTCTTATCACTTTCTTCCTGTTTTCTTCACAAATATTAAAAAATAAGCAATTAAAACTGGCACTTTGCTTATTTTCACGATTTTCAAATGTAAATAACTTCTGCCCAGAAAAATGAAAAATTACGAAAATTGGGCAATAATTAATTGATCACTAGATACACTTACTGGAAAAAGATTTTCTTTGGTCCCGAAGCTATTTTCTGAATTAATTAACTTTTAACTTTTCACTATTTCTATCAGGTTAATACATGTGTTTTTTTAAGGACGAAGTTAGCTCTTCTTGTTTGATCGTTTTGAACCAACTTCAGTTTAAAAAAAATCGCATGTATTAACCTGATAGAAATAGTGAAAAGTTAAAAGTTAATTAATTCGGAAAATAGCTTCGGGACCAAAGAAAATCTTCTTCCAGTGAGTGTATCTAGTGATCAATTAATTATTGCCCAATTTTCGTAATTTTTCATTTTTCTGGGCAGAAGTTATTTACATTTGAAAATCGTGAAAATAAGCAAAGTGCCAGTTTTAATTGCTTATTTTTTAATATTTGTGAAGAAAACAGGAAGAAAGTGATAAGAAAAACTAAAAGTTAATCACAGGTACTTTGTATTTCATAAGGTTTTATCCAATTTAATGATTTCTCTTTCTCATATTTAGTGAATGAAATTTGCAAAAATAGGTTATTTGCCAGGTAAACTTTAAAATTATTTTTTATTTAATATTTCTTATTAATAATTGTTTCTACCAATTTATAATAATAAAATAATTCATTCTTAATAAATTCTAATAATTTTTTTTACGTTTTTAAAGTAAACTAGTTGTCATACCCGTCTTCGACGGGTTTTAGTTTCTACCAATACATTTAACAATGTTTCTACCAATCTGGAAAATCAGAAAAAAACCGAAAATTTAATTTGACCGGAAAATTAATAATTAGTTACCAATAGCTATTTCGGTAGTATAATATTACTATTTGAATAGTCTCCACCTTTTAGCAAAAAATAAAAAATTATCAAAAATTCGAAAAACCCAATTTCTTAAAATTTAACATTTTTTTCTTCTTTTTTATATCATTAAGCTTCATTATTTTTGTGCTCTTCAAAAATAATTTACTTATTAAAAATTCTCCACCCTTTGGTAAAAAATCTAAAATTATGGAAAATTAGCAAAAATTCAAAAAACCGAATTTCTTAAAATTCAACATTTTTTCTTCTCTTTTATGGCTTTTGGCTTTATTATTTTTGTGCTCTTCAAAAATAATTTACTTATTAAAAATTCTCCACTCTTTGGTAAAAAATCTAAAATTATGGAAAATTAGCAAAAATTCAAAAAACCGAATTTCTTAAAATTCAACATTTTTTCTTCTCTTTTATGGCTTTTGGCTTTATTATTTTTGTGCTCTTCAAAAATAATTTACTTATTAAAAATTCTCCACTCTTTGGTAAAAAATCTAAAATTATGGAAAATTAGCAAAAATTTTAAAAACTGAATTTCTTAAAATTCAACATTTTTTCTTCCTTTTTATGTCAATTAGCTTCATTATTTTTGTGCTTTTAGAAAATACTTTACTTATTTAGTAGTCTCGACTCTTTGGTAAAAAATCTAAAATTTTCGAAAATTATCAAAAATCCAAAAAACCGAATTTCTTAAAATCCAACATTTTTCCTTCTTTTTTATGGCATTTAGCTTCATTATTTTTGTGCTCTTCAAAAATAATTTACTTATTAAAAATTCTCCACCCTTTGGTAAAAAATCTAAAATTATGGAAAATTAGCAAAAATTTTAAAAACTGAATTTTTTAAAATTCAACATTTTTCCTTCTTTTTTATGTCATTTAGCTTTATTATTTTTGTGCTCTTTAAAAATACTTTACTTAATTTGTTATCTCCACCCTTTCGTAAAAAATCTAAAATTATGGAAAATTATCATAAAATATTTATTATAAAACATCTCCATTTTTAAAGTCTCTGAACTTCTTTCAATTAAAGAATACTGAATGAATTGGATAAATAATTATGAATTGCATTATTATTTGACTTTAAAATCTTAATCAGAGACCTTAAAAATACTACTGAATTAAACTTGATAGTAATTAATGACAATTATAATTTTTTCGATTTTTTGATATCGAAAATATTTTTATACTTACATCTTAGTCATATCATTTTTTGTGCAAAATTATGCGAAAATGTGACTAAATAACATGTAATACTCAATTATACAGTGTTTAAAAGCAATTCATTAAACAATGTAAACTTTGTAAAATGTGACTAAATAACATGTAATACTCAATTATACAGTGTTTAAAAGCAATTCATTAAACAATGTAAACTTTGTAAACTTGCGATTTTTTTAATTATTTGAAAACTTTTTTATACTTAAATCTTAAAATTATGCTAAAATGTGACTAAATAACATGTTAAGTTTAAAAGCAGTCCATTAAAAAATATAAAATTTGGAAATTTGCGATTTTTTGAATTTTTCGAAATCATTTTTATTCTTACGTCTTAGTTATAGGACAGTACTTTTTTTAAAATTATGCTAAAACTTGACTAAATAACATGTAATACTCAATTATAGAGAGTTTAAAAGCAATTTATTAAAAAATATAAAATTTAAAAAATTTCGATTTTTTGAATTTTTTAAAAAAAAATTTTATACTTACATCTTAGTTATAGGACATTATTTTTGGCAAAACTATTCTAAAATGTGACTAAATAACATGTTATACTCAATTATAGAAAGTTTGAAAGCATTTTTTAAAAAAATGTAAAATTTGAAAATTTTTGGTTTTTGAATTTTTCGAAAAAATTGAATATCTCCCGTTCTAATTAATATTTTTCAATTCTGTAAATTTATAAACCTTCCTTGGCCCAAGGTCTAACATTCTGCCAAATTTGGTTTCAAATGGTTCAGCAGTTTTTAAGTGATGCGCGAACAAAGATTCTGTGACATACCGACACACATACATACATACATACACGAAATTTTTTATTGGTATATTTGGAATCCTTGATGCCTAAAACGAATAATTATGTGCGAAATTTAAAGTTCTGAACAATGTACAGACAAAAGTCTGATTTTATATATATAGAAGATAGATAGATGAAAATGTGACAGTTTTTACGACTTCATATACTTTAGATGCTTATTTTACAACAAATATAAAAAATATTTAAAAAATTCTTTTTCTTCGGTGATCCTAATATCTTTAAAATCATTCCTGCAAAATATTACAATTTTTTAAAATTAGTCGGCAACGACTTTAGTCGAAATATAATGAAATGACTCTTCTATAAAATAATAGTCATTTCAAAAGTAACATATATTTTTTGCAAGATGATTGAAAGGGTACTTCATACTTTAAAAAATAAAAAACCGATTTTTGGCCCCTAAATAGTACAGTTTTCTATATAAACGAGGGGTCAACGTTTTTTAAAATTACATTAAAAATTAATTAAATTAAATTTCTAAAAAAGTTAATAATATATGCCTGTTTATTGTAAATATTGATCTTTTAGTCAACTTTTCAAAAAAATTTACAAAAAAAAAATTATTTTTGAAGTTTTTTCAACTTTGGCATATTTTTTAAAAATTGTAGAAAACATTTGAAATTTACTTAGATTTAAGTTTTATCTTTAACTTAAGACCAAAAGAGTTTAAAAATCTTATTCGGTTCGTGAGATCCCAATATACATATATAGAAAATATCTACTGCTTTGATTCATAAATAATATTTGTTTAAATAATTGTGTTTAATTCAAATATATTTTCTGCTTTGGTTTAAACAAAGAATATGTTTAAAAATGTTATGTTTGATCTAAAGTTAAATGTTGATTAGAAATAATTTAAAATCAACCATAAATTATGTTTGAATTGAATATATTATTTCTATAAATGAACCAAAAAATATGTTTGAATTAAACTTAAATTTGTTTGACTGTATAGCAAAGATATTTTAAGTTTGATTTAAACAAAATTTTTTTGAATCAAATAAATCGTTTTCTCAGTGTATTTACAAAAAAATTGTGTTTCAAAGATTGACATGTTTTTGGGCCGTGCGCGTGCAGCCGTACCGGTAATTCCCAACGGTATATAGTGTACGTCCATTTACTTTTTTAATAAATCTTGTACATACTAAAAAATCAATATATACAATAAACAGGCATATATTATTAACTTTTTTAGAAATTTAATTCAAGTATTAATTAATTTTTAATTTAATTTTAAAAAATGTTGGCCCCTCGTTTATATAGAAAACTGTACTATTTAGGGACCAAAAATTGGTTTTTTAGTTTTTAAAGTATGAAGTACCCTTTCAATCATCTTGAAAAAAATATATGTTACTTTTGAAATGACTATTATTTTATAGAAAAAAAATGGCGGTTGTGCAAAAAAAATTTCAATAAAAAAAAATGTTTTTTTAAAAATTTTCTTTTTACTGACTTTTTTTGTTTGAATTTGGTCGACAATTTCTTTTATCACCTGTTCATATTGTATTGTACAAAAAAAATTGTTTCATGAAAATCGGTTTAGCTATTTTGGAGGGAAAAAAATTTTTTGAATTTTTTTGAATTTTAAAAAAAAATTGTATACCTAACTCAAAAGCAAAATTTTTTTTCGAGTTGAAACTTGGTGAAAATAAGTCTCATAATAGGTCAAAATTATTCCCTAAATATGGACCCAATCCAAGAGGGGGCACTTTTTACATGCTTATACTGCTACGACCTTTTTAACACTTTTATTAATTTTTTTTATTTATTGAATATTTTTATATTTGTCTTAACAAACGACAAAAGACAAGTGACAAAACATAAAAGACGAACGACAAAAAAACAAAAGACAATCAAGAGAAAACAAAGGGACAATGACAAACGACAAAAAACAGTACTTCTCTCCTATTTTTAATATTATTGTTGTTATAGTCGTAACATTAGATTCGCCATTTAAAAATTTTGTAAGAATGATTTCAGATTTGTTTTTTCACACCCCGCAAACTTCCAAGAAGCAGCATTCAGTCCTATATTGTCCATTTTTTATTTTTGACTATCATATTGTATCCATTATTTTAAAGATAGAAAAACTGACTTCAGATTCGTAATCTGTGATCTAGAAAAAACCTAAGCTGTAATTTTCAAACAAATTTGATGGATTTTTTATTTCTTCGTCCAATATATTGAATCCTCTATTTTTAATTTTAATAAACTGACTTCCGATTCAGAATCAGCGACCCCAAAAACCCCCGAGTGACATCTTTCAAGTAAATTTGTTTAATTTTTATTTTTTTTTGTCCGCCATATTGGATCCGCCATTTTAAATTTTGAAAAACTGACTCCAGATTCGTAATCAGCGACTCCGAAAACCATGGGTATTATACCTATTGTAGATATTTTTCAATTGCCCTAATTATGGGACTGAAAGGGTTGAAAAATTAATTAATGGTTTGAAACCGCTTACCTCCAATTTGTGCATAAAAAGCTACGCCGACAGCACAAAGGGAATTGTTTGCGGTAGCAGCAACTTCACCTGCGCATCTCGTTCCATGACGATTACTGTCAGCAAGGTCATACCGTGGCATTGGATCTTCGTCATGATTGTTTACATCGTAACTAGCTAGTGGATCCTAAAAGAAACGTAACAGTTACATAATATTCAATGTCTTGATAAATCTTACAAAACTTATTGAATGCAGAAAGTACAAAATACAATTTGAGTTTAATTCCCTTTTCAGGGTTGCCACAAAAATTTAATTTTGTTTTTCCCTGACACTAAAGAATATTCTGATTCACTCCAAAAATGATTAGATTCTCAAAAAAATGTTCTATCACATTTATTTACGAATTTCCTTAATTGTAAAATTATTCGAAAATATCAATGACTTCGTTTTTAAATAAATATTTAATTATTATTATTTTTTTATAGGAATTAAGATTTTCAAATTCAAACCTTCTGAAATTCAATAACTTACGAAAATATTATTATAAAACATGACTCGAAGTGATCGATTCCTTCATGTTTTATAATAAATTTAAGATGACAGAGTGATAAATCATTATTTTATATCATAAGAATATTGTAACTATAAATTCAAATTTTCAAAGATTTTAATTTTGAACCCTCTTCAAAATTCAATTATTTTTTAAAATTCACGTTATAATACTTTAAATATTCATCAATTATAATTTAAAATTTAAAGTAAAATTCATTTTTTAATGAATTTCTAGTACAAAATTTTTCGAGAATTCAATTATTTTATTACAAAAATAAATAATTGAATTCTTGCAACGAATTTTATTACAAATTTTTTTAAAGAATTGAATTCCTGTGAAGGATTCTATTTATGAAAATAATTGAATTCCACGCAGAAAAATATTATTATTTATAAAAATAATTAATTTCTTGTGAAGAATATTATTCAAAATTTTTTTAAATAATTAAATTTCTCAGAATTTTTTAAAATTTATTTTTAACAATTTTGATGAAATTCTTTAAAAAAAACATTATTTTCAAAATTTTTAATAAAATTCCTTCAAAAAATTAAATTATTTTCAACAATTCAGATAAAATTCTTCGGAACAATTCAATTATTTTTATGAATTGAAAAATTCTTGGCAAAAGTTCAATTATTTTTGTAAATAGGTAACAAAATTCTTCTTAAAATTTAATTATTTTAAAAATTTTCTGTAAAAATTTTTAAAAAACTTGATGATTTTCAAGAAAATTGAAATAAATTCTTCAAAACAATTCAATTATTTTAAAGAATTTTAATTAAAATCTTTCCAAGAATTGAATTATTTTTAATACAATTTTAATTACATTTTCTCAAAAGAATTCATTTATTGAAAAAAATGTTCATAAAATTCTTCAAATGAATTCAACTATTTTCTGTACATCGACAATTTAATTATTTCTAAAATAATTGAATTCTTAAATAGAATTTTATTAAAACTTTTTTAAATAATTTTTTAAATCCCTGCGAAAAAATTTATTATTTCTGCAAATATTGATATTATCTATTTATTGATATTATTGAATTCTTTCGAAGAATTTATAAAAAAAAATTTTTAAATAATTGGATTTTCCCTGGAATTTAATTAAAATTGTATTTAAAATAATTGAATTCCAGCGAATATTTAATTATTTTGAAAAATAATTGAATTCTTGAATTGAATTTTATTAAAAGTTTTTTAAATAATTGAACTTCTGTGAAAAAAAACAATTAAACAACAATTTTCCAGGATACCGATTAAAATTCCCTGACTTTTCCAAGTCTTTTCAAGGTTTAAAAAATTCCCTGAAATTTAAACTCAAACTATGTATAAGTTGTTACATCTAAATAATTTCAACTTACGTAATTGTCTTTTAAATCAGGATGATCTTTCTCCAATCCATCGTCTAGAATTGTCACGACTACACCACGTCCTGTTATTCCTTCAGCCCAAGCTTCTTGTACGTTCATGTCTAGTCCGTTGCCCCTATTCTGTAGCAAAAAGTCATTTCTCCAATTATTCCATAGAAATTTTTTCTTCAAAATTTAATGCATCAGTGATGTGTATTTTGGACATTATGTATTTTTAAAACACCATAAGATTACTTACCAAATACCACATTAAGGACCACCTTTCATCGTTCAAGATAGTTGGCGTCTTGCGTTGTCTCGGTATCGGTATAAAATCTCTTTTCGACCGAGACTTTATTCTTTGCTGTTCTGCTCTTCGAACCCGATGATCACGTAGCAACTGTTCGTGAACTTTAATATGAGGATCTACAGATCTTTTCTTTACCATTCTATGATCGAGATGGTACCAATCGTCAACAATCTGAAAATAATTCAAGGTATATACATTAAATGATTATCCAACACTTTTTCCCCGAAAACCCCCAAGAAACAACTTCAAGCAAATTTAGTAAATTTCTTCAAATTTTAGCCGTCACAATGGATACGCCATTTTGAATTTTTTTTAATCTGGCATTTAATTCAGATTCAGCGATCCCAAAAATCCCTAAGTAATAAGTTATAAGGAAATCTGGAAATTTTTTTAATTTTGTGTCGCCATATTGGAACCGCCATTTTGAATTTTTTAAACTTGAAATCAAATTTGGTTTCAGCGACCCCAAAAACTTATTTCATTAAATAAATTAGTAAATTTGTTTTATCGACTATTAATAAAACAGTTCTACTATAATTGTTAATAAAATTATTACTAAATCATTTGGTGGACGACTTTTTGTCATTTCATTAGTAACTTTCTACTGATTCATATTTAGAGATTGTATACACGTCATCGATTAAAATAATTAACGAAATTATCTTAATAATTTTACTTAACCTTTAATCGGACAGTCGAATTTCGATGGATTAAAGAGGAAACTTCTAAATTATAAATTTATTTAATTTAAAAATTTTATAATTTCTTTTTGTAATTTAAAATTACGGAGTTTTATTAAAATTCATTTATTTACTCCAAAATATTTTTGAACTGACGCTCACAGTATAAAACTTATAAAATTGTTCGATATCTATTGTTTTTCAGTTAAACCTAAATTCACAATCATTCACATTAATGTAAATACGTTTCTGTCAATATACAATATAAAAAAGGCTTGTTTTAGTTTGATTTCATATATTAAAATACAATAAATCTAAATTAAGACGAAAATAAATAATATTGAAATTTCTAATTTCTTATTATATAAAAAAAATAAAAAACTGGTAAAATGAGGAGCACCTATGTATACGTAAAAACGCGTGCTGCCTACGGAAAGCAATGCGTTTTCAATATGAAAGAAACATCTTTAGATGAAGTAATTTTACCAAATTCTGAATTAAATGAACAATTTATTTTACAAAATCCTTGCCATAAAAGAGTACAGATGTCAAATAAAATAGCTCATCACGAGGTTAGTAAATTTCTAAATATAGATAAGTAGTTCAAATGCTCAATGTCAATAATTCAACTACAATGCAACTACCTATATCTTGACACATTAAAAGGAGACAGTGGGTATAGTCTTGGCTGATAGAGATGTGAGGAAGAAGAAAAATGGTCCAGATGAAAATCAGAATACTAAAATAATTAGGTCAAAATCGCGAAATTTGAAACTTTCGTAACGTAACGGTCTTTTTGAAAAGTTTATAAATATTAAATAATGCATATAAAAATTTTTACATTATATCAGCAAAAAAAAAGTATATTAGAACTCTGAGTTCAATTATTTTCAATATCTAGTATTTTCATAAGATTTCACAAAAGAATTCAATTATTTAAAAAAACAAGTTGTTCAGTTTATGATTATTTAGCTTCCTCAATATAATATATACCAATTGCTTAACTTTTTATTATAGAATAATTATTTTAAAGTATAAGATAAAAAATTTCAAGAAATACAAAATTTGAATTTTCTGTTAAAAATAAAACTATCAATTAATTTTATAAATATTGATAAAATATATACTTTATATACATGAATCGATTCGTTTTCATGTCAGGAATACAATTTTGTACCACACATGAAAATTTGTAAAACTAATTGATTCTAAAAAATTCGGAAATCAACATCACTATAAGACTTCCTTTGGGATGAAGCAAAAAATAACTTTAGCTCATTTTACGCGAAATTTTATAAGCTTTCCAATAGTTATTTTAAAAATTTTTCTAGACTTATTTTTAACTGAAATATTTTTTAAAAAAATGAGAGGCATGCTTTTAATGCGAATTTTGTAAGTGGACTGACAATTCTGTCCGGTACTGTACTTTTTTAAAATTAATTATCGTGTGCAAAGTCTGGAATGCACATAATAAGTAATCTTAAGGCGTATAAAAAAATAAAAGTTTTCCTCTTACTAACGGTAGACTATCTTTACATTCGGAAGTACATCATCTTATATAAATTACAAAAAAAAAAAACGCGTGTGCATAATTGAACGAGAGGTCTAAACCTAATTCAAACAGTAATCTTGTAATAATTAATTTTCAGACTCAGACTATGGGGAAAGAATTTAAAAATACCGGAATGCACCATTTTGAGGGCGGATGGCCGAAAGAAATCGATCCTTCAGATGAGGATGCAAAGGCAAGATTTCGAAGACGAGTTGAAAAGGAAGAAAATTGGTATTCGAAATTAAAAACTTTATTTAACGTAAGTTTCTAAAATTCTAATACTTTGAATTCGCAGAAAGCTTTTCATATTACTGTTAAGTTTTCATTGGATGCTACAATTAGACTACGGCTCTTGCTCGTATTATATACAATTCAAAACATTTTCTAATTCTGAACTCTTGTTGCAATTTATTCTTATGATTCAGTGAAACTCTGATAACTCGAAACCTTCGAATAATGTCATGAGTGCGTGGCCTGTCGAAGAATGTATCCGAAATTTCTATTATTGTACCCTCCCTCAAATCGTCTAGCATCATCAATCACATTTTTGACAGAATCTCCCCATGAGATTTAGTATTGATAAAATTGAACTCTCTGCCGTTGCTAACTTATCCCAACTGCATTGCCATAGAACGTATAAATCCTATAGCCCTACCAGGCTATCGTCCAATATCTGTCGATTTCTGACGATAACGAGACCGTTAGCAACAGCAGAGGGTTAATTTCAGTAGAATTTTTCAGAATTTCCTTGGAAATTCGAGTTATCAATGTTCCATTGATTTCAAAATTAATAGCATTTCAAAATTAACAGCATAGAAAGCTGTATTTATCAAATGACTTTATAGACTACTGAAAATGCAATTCTCCAAAACAACGCAATTAATGTTTACGACCATTACTTTAATGATGTAATACCATCGGATTTAAAAGAAATGCCATCTGCAATGTAACGAGCGAATGGATTTTGAGAATTGTTAAATCTGATCCTTTTTAAGGTAAAATATTAAAATATCTCTTTTTTCTTTTATTATTTATGTCACAAAATATAATATGAAATATAAACAGTTTTCAATGTTTTCATGTTTTATAAACATTTTTATGATTTTTATATCTACTACAAATTTTAGATTGTAAATGAGATGTCACTTTTTAACATGACATGATGAGCCTGTTGTCGAACGTTTTCAACTGCGTGTGTTACTTTAAAATTATAAAATATAATTCAAATAGAAATTTCAAATTTTTTAATAGGTAACAAACGTTTAAGTTATTATTAGAAGAAAAACGATAGTTTATCTCTGAAAATAATCATGAGAATTTGGAAAAATTTTTAGATCAATTTCTAAAACTGGCATATTTTTAAAGAAAGTGTACACATTAATAACTATCAGATATTAAATAAATTAAATAAATAAATTTAAATAACTCGTAAAATTACCTTTAAAATAAGTTAAAGAACATTAAAACATGTAAATTATTTTTTTAAAATATTGTTAAAATCATTCTTATCTTCTTATCATAAAAAAAAGATTTTTGTAAAAATAGGATGAAAGGCATTTTTTTATTAAGTGTGATGGAAATTTAAGTACATAGTCCAGAAATTGGGACATTTATTTTAATGAGGAAGCTTTATCTTAATGACCATTTGGCCATGAAATGAACAATTTGTATTTAATGTTTCTAATAGAAAGTTAATTCAATTGTTTTTGTTTAAGGTTCAATTTATAAAAAATTTTAATAGATTTTAATGGTTTAGAAATTGATAACGTAGTTTATGGATGGCCCCTAATTTATTAAAAATTTTATTTAATTTTTAGATTGGTATCCTAAAGCTGTCGAGGTCATTAACTTCGAATCTGATGTTAGATTTTCAAAATTTTAAATAGCGAAAATGCAACTTATTTCGATTTTTATAGTGCAAAAAATATCTATAAACAAATCTTTCAAAAAATTATTTTTGAATCATTTTTTAAGATAATTAAATTTTTCAAATATATCTATTATAAAAATCTTTTTGAATAATTGAAATTTTGTAAAATTTAATAGAAAATAATTAATTTTTTTCAAGTATCTACTTTGTTACAATCTTTGAAAATTAACTTTTGAAAAATTTTAATTCAGAACTATTAATTAATAATTTTTAATAATTGAATTATTAAAAATGTTAATGAAAAATCTTTAAAAATTATAAATTTAAAAATAAAAATTAACTTCTAATTTTTTTAAAATGAAATATTTTCAATATTTTCAATTACATATTTTCGAAAATTTAAATACATACAAACATTTAATTAAAATTCTTCAAAAATTTGATTCTTTTTTTTGTATTTTTTAAAAACTCAATTATTTTTCAAAGATTTGATCAAATTTCAATTATTTTCGAAAGATTTTACCAAACTTATATTATTTTTTAGAAGATTTTACCAAATTTCAATTTTTTTGGACATTTTTTAATTGCATGTAATTGTAAAACTATTGTCTTTCAAAAATTATTTAAAAATATTTTTAGAAAATTAATTTTAAGAATTTCTTTCTTAATATTTTTGAAAATATTCTTCCTTAATATCTTTAAAAAAAATTAACATTTTCAATTATTAGAAAAAATTGAATTTTTGTATTTAAATAATTGATTGAGAGATGGAGTTTAGTTAAATATTGTAGAAAATAATTTAATTTTGGAAGGGTTATATAGTTGTAATTTTTAGAAATTATTAAATTTCAGAATTTGAAATTTTTTAAATTTTATTTCTCATGAAAAAAGAAATAAGAAGTATTTAAATATTTATTTAGCAAAATTATTCAAGTTTTAATTAATTTAATTTAGAAATCAGTGAACTTTTTTCTTTTTTTAATCGACTAAACTGTAAAATATAAATTTTCCAGCTCCTGTCAGGGTGTTTAACTGAATTTGATTTTATTAAAATTTATTGTACAACTCGATAATGCATCTTTCAATAGTTATCATATTGAATCCGCTATTTTGAATTTTGAAAAATTGATGTCAAATTCGTAACCAGCGACTCCGAAAATTAATCATGGAATTAATAACAAATTTGACATCAATTTTTCAAAATTCAAAATGGCGGACATAAAAAATTAAGATCTCTCAGATTTGCTTGACACTTATGTTACTTTGGTGTTTTTTGGGTTTCTAATTGAAAATAATTATTAAGAAGTTTTTAATTAACGTTTAAGTGGGTTTAGATATAAATTTCAAAATGTTAAAAACCTCAATATTATATCAATTACGACAGTAAGTAATTTTATAGAAAATGAAGAAGAAAAGAGGAAAATGTAAAAAGTTTGATGACTGACCTTAGCAAGATATCGAAATCCATTGTCTTTGGCTACTTGCTTAGCTACCTCTGGCCCTCCCTTGATATACGCAGCCCATTGATTCGAATAAGCCGTAATTGGAATATTTTTAGTCGAAAGAAGGAAGGCGAAGATAAAAATCCACTTGGAGCACATCCTAACTGTCACTGTCACTTGACACTCTTGCAAAGCCAATATTTACTAAAGCACCTGCTTTAAGTGTACATTCCAGTTGAATATTTACAGAGAGGGAACAAATTATTTTCAATCCGTTCTAACCAATGTTCTTATATCAAGTGTGTGTAAAAAACATACATGCACACACATATTTATATATAAATATATAGACACATACATATTCAGTCTGCTTCTATGCACCTTAGATTATATCCAAAACACCAGCGGCAGTGTTCTCTTTATCAAAAAAGTCAACGAGTTGTCTAAAACTTTAACAAAAACAGAAGCACTAAATTCTTCAACTCTTGAATTGATGCGTATAAAATTCCATATAAAACTGTTCTTTATAAATCACAATATAAAATAGAAACGTAAATTAAGCAAATACGCAGAATTATTTTTAACATATGTCAACAAGTATATTAAGAATTGACTTGTTTTGTAGTTTTCGCTCCTCTGATAAGTTAACTCTCATTAACCTTATTAAACTTCTATACTTTTTGAACTTGAGTTTCCTCAACATTTTCAAACAGTCTCAAATTTGATATGAAGATATGAAGTATTTTCCTTATTCTTCATAAAAATTTTAATTTCATCTTTATTTTTCTTGACTCTTTGTTGCAGGTGCAGTCTCTCAATGTAAAATTCATTTTGTTCAAAATCATTATTGCCTTTTTATGTAGAACGTTGTATTTATACATATAGTCTATTCTCAAAATATATCTAATGTAATTGACGGAAAAAATGGAAATTTCTTCAAATAAAAACTGTTAAATGAAGAATTCATCGTGTCTTACTTTTTAGAATCTTATTTTCTTCACTTTCATTATGAATTAATCTTCTTGTCACTATGATAATCTGAAAATAAAGAGAAAAATTTAATACATAATTGTTATAGTGTAATAATTAAGATTTATTAATTTTAGCTACTAATATTGGTATCTAAATGGTATAAATGGTATAAATTTAAATGGTATAAATTTGAGGTCATAATTTGAAAATTCAAAATGTCGGATCCAATATGGCGGACGATTTTTAAAAAAATTCTTTCATTTTAATGAATTTTAGTAACGAAGGGTTTTTGGTGTCGCTGATTACAAATTGGAGGTCAGATTTTAAAAACTCAATGGCGGATCCAATATGGTGGTCGAATTTAAAAAAAATTGTTTAATTTATGTGAAAAAAACATGTTCCTAGATGTTTTTCGAAAGAAGTTACTAAATAACAACAATTATTCGTTTAAACAATTAAATAATTGTTAAATTTATAAAATATTTTCATCTTATGTTATTTAGCTTATAGTTAATTGCAAAATTAGAAAAAAACTACATGTTCCTAGATGTTTTTTGTAAAAAGTTAATAAATAACAACAATTATTTGTTTTAAACAATATTGAAGAATTGTTAAAGGGTGCGAAAATAATATTTAATTTTATAGTATAATATTATTTTAAATTATATTTATCTACTTTTATAAATTACATTTAATTTTGATTATTATTAATTATTCATTAACTTATTATCAAACAAAATTAAAATTTAATATTTTTTCAATAATTTGACCGCCATACTGAATCCGTCATTTTGCAATTTTAAAATTTGACCCCAGAAAGCAGAAACTCCGAAAACCCTTAGATAGCAAATTTAATAAAATTTGACCAATTTTTTAAAAATTAGTCCGCCATATTGAATTTTGAAAATTTGACCTCAAATTCGTAATCAGCGACCCCAAAAACCCTTTGATACTAAGTTTCAATAAAATCAAACAATTTTTTCCGATATATGTATCACAAACTATATATATACCTTATTTCGCTGTAAGTTGCACTTTGTTTCATGTGTTAATATTAATTTGTTTAAACATTATGAGAAAACCAATATTTGGACGAGTATACTCGTTATGGTACGCAGGAGGGTTAAAAAATGATGAAGAATAACGTATTAAAATAAATGAATATCCACTTATTCGCTTAGAGTGTTTATTCACATTTCAGTTTTAGTTATTTTATTAATATAAAAAATGCTAATAAATAGATGTAAATGTTTTTTGGATTATTTAAATAAAAAAATATAATATAATAATAATATAATAATATAATTTATAATAATAATATAATATAATATTTATATAAATAAATAAAAAAATGCTTTTAAGAAATTAAAGTATTCTAGAATATTATATTATTATTTCAATAATAATTGGTCTACTTTGAAATAAAAATTTAAAATTAGTAAAAGTTAGTGACCGCCATTTTGTAGTAAAATTTCAAACAGAACTTTTTTTCACACTTCAACATGTATTTAATAAATCCTCTAAAAATAAACTCTATTCCTATTTTTATTTTCCCAAAATAAATCATTAAAGATAGGTCTCCATTTTTTGCCTCTAGAGTAATGAAATTTGATATAATTAACCCGACTAACTTCCTAGTAACTTTGTAAAAATTTTAAAAATGTTCTCCGAATTAAATATTTCAATGTTAATTTTCTGAGAGTTAACGCGTAATCTTGCTGGAAATTTGAAAAAAATACATTATCAGGGGTAAATTTCTGAAAAATTAAAGAAAAATTTGAAACTAAACTGCCTAGCCTCTGAGTTTTCCCTAAAATTAATCATGGAAAGTACACAATATAATGACAAGAAAAATTTTCCTAAAGTTTACTGAAAAAATTATAAAAAATTTTAAATATTTTCTTTGAATCCTTAAGGTAATAACTGAGTTTAAAGTTGTGCAATTTTTAAAGAACCCCGTATATACATACAATTAAAACTAAGAAATCAAAATCTGTTGAGAAAATTGTAGTTTTAATTGTATATAATTATGTTGAGATTTTTTAAAAATTTTCTAATTTTAAACGAAATTATATTTTATCCGCTTTATATTTCCGCTTTGCTTATTTAAATCGGTTCATTCATTTAGGAGAAATAAATTTTTGTTTAAAAAGTTGCAAAAAACTTTTATAAAAAAAAATTTGTTTTCTGTTCTTTGGTGGACACATTCCTAAGGCCAAATAGAAACTTTTTTTCAATATTTCGATTTAAAAAAAATAATTTTTATTTTTTATGAAAATTTCACGAATTCTGACCCAATAATAATAATTTAATTGCGTTGTGATTATAGCAAATGCCGTTTCGACGCAATTTTCTGAACTTTATCACACCTTTTTTCTTTCCTAATTAACATAAAACAAAAAAGTACCATATTTACATCTAATTAAGCAAAAAGTCAATTAAAAATTAAAAAGCATTAATTGTTTAATAATTTTGTTATAAAATGAAAAACTCTTGGAAATCATGATTTATTACTTTCGATGTGGAGAACAATAGAGTTGGAAGAACTTCCGGTAAGAGATTTGCTATTATTTATATATTGTAACGAAAACGTCTAACCATTAATCGAGATTTCATCATTTTTATTGTAAAACACCACGACTTTATAAATAAAATAACTTTTAAAACATATAAGATGCCTTTCTGTTCTTTAGCACATATAATCTTCCTACTTTAAACTTCTTTTTAAGACATTTTCGAAAATTTTAAAAAATGGTTGAAAGTCTATAAAAATAAACACAAAATTTTCGTTTTTAATTTTTTCAATGAAAGGAATACAATTTTAAAATTAAAAAAAAAATTAAATACAATTAAATTTACTATAAAAAAGTGCCTTCATTTCTTTTATTTCGTGCATTTTAATGGAAAAAGCAGCATTTCAAAAAATAAGTTCTTTCCATTAAAAATTTCAAATTGTCTGTTTTCCGTAGAATTTTTTACTTTTATTCTTCAAGTTTTACCGAACTATTCATATATAAGTACAAATATTACCGAACACTTATCTTACGTTGTACCGAACTGTCACTGGAATTTTAAATGCTTAGTTGAAGTTTAACTTTAGTACTAGAAGTGTTAATATATGTATCATAATGTGTATGCCTTTTCCATTATCATTTCTGCCGTCCTTATTTAAAAAACACACTATCTATCTACAATTGGCGTCATTTCGTGGTATTTGACAAAACGCGTTTTTATCTGTACTTCCTTTCACATCATGTTTTTCAGAAATGTAATAATGCTTCCTTAACTAATTTTATTATGCAAAAAAATTGCAATTTTTTATTGCAAATACGCAAAATTATTGCAAATATGCAAAATCGTGGTGAATTTTTGTCAGGAGAATAGCTCAAGTACAGTCGATTTTCCCGATGTAAAATACACTATATCTATGTTTAAATCTTCTTTTGTTTTTTCCTTCATCTATATTTATACTCTTGTGAATAAGTTTGGCATTTATTATTGTTGGTTGGTTAAATTTATTTCCTTATCAAATACATAGAATGTATATAATTCTAACTAATTAGAGTATTATTTTTACAATAACACAAATTTTTAAGAGTTTATAAGATTTTCGTTCTTACCAAAAATTCGCAGGATTGTTAAAAAAAATCATTATTATATATAGTGCAATTGCATTACTTAAATTAATGTATTTTGAAATATTTCAATAATTATTTTTCTTTTAAATAAAAAATGAAATCTATAATTTTAATTTAGTTTAATATTTTTAATTGTTCAAATTAATTGTTTACAAATAAACATTTATTTTTAATTCACAATTCATAAAAAGTAACCACAGCCGATAATCAGCAGAAGATGAAAAATTATTTTTGAGCGAACTTTATCATCTGTTTACTAAAAGTTGTTAGAACTAAAATTTTATTGTTTACTGGTCACAAACTATTGCTAAAACAATTCCGATTAATATCTGCGTCATCAAAATTTATTCAATTCACAATTCATAAAAAGTAAACCACAGCTGATAATAATCAGCAGAAGATGAAAAATTTGTTTTAGCGAACTTTATCTTCTGTTTAATAACAATTGTTAGTCAAAATATTTTTTCCAGGTCCTAAACAATTACTAGAACAATTCCAATTAATATCTGAGTCATCAAAATTAATTTAATTCACAATTCATAAAAAATAACCACAGCCGATAATCAGCAGAAGATGAAAAATTATTTTTTGAGCGAACTTTATCTACTGTTTACTAACAATTGTTAGTTAAAAAAAAATTTTCCTTGTCCTAAACAATAGCTAGAACAAAATTTTTTCAGAAATCTTAAAAAAAGGCAAAATTCCAGAAATTTTTTTAAATTCTATACGAGAGTCAAGCTTTTTTTCTTAGTAACTAGATGCTATGTTATATGAGAAAATGATAAAATAATTGTTCTTAATAATAGTGCAGATAGGTTGTAGAAGATTGATATTATAGTTGTCAGAGTTGAGCCCTTTTCGAAATTTTTGAAAAAAATTCAATCGTTTTAATCATAAAAATATATTATATTCATAAAATATTTTACTATGGAAAGACAATTTATTTATTTAATTTTAAATAAAATAAAAAATTCTTTTTAATTTTGAAAGTTCAGTTTATTGAGTATATTTATTTATGTTTACTAATTATTTATGTACCATTATTTATTTAAATAAATTTATTTATTTATTATAGGTAATTTGTTATTTATTTATTATATATTTAAGTAACCCAACTGGAGCTTTTCAGACTTTTTGTACACCTCTAGAAAATAATTATTAAATATTTAGTTTATTTATTTGCAAAGGTTAACAAATTAAAATTATATTAAAAATTTTTCTAGAGAGAATTATATTGAACGCTAACTTTAATTGTCATTTTATTGCCAGGGCTCGGATAGTCTTTAAGATTCAAAAAAAGTTGCTTTAGTCGCATAAATTTACAACAAAAGTCACGAAAAGTCGCATAAAATTTCCGAAAAAGTCGCATGAAATCTTAGAAAAAACGACAAGAAGAAAACACGAAATTTAATAAAATTTATATCAAAATTTTAATTAGGTACTTTTAACATTTTTTTAAAAAATTCTCTTTAAAATGGCAATTATTTTTATAAATAATAAAATTCTTCTCCGAAATTCAATTATTTAAAAACAATTTTAATAAAATTCTTCGCAGAAATTCAATTATATTCAATTTTTTTTTATTTTTCGTCAAAACTTTATAAATAATAAAATTCATCATGAAAATTTAATTATTTTCAAAAATTCTGATAAAATTCTTTGCAAAATTCAATTATTTTCAAAAGTAAAAAAATTCTTGTCAAAAATTAAAATATTTTCAAAAAATTTTTTTTTAATTCTTCTCAAAATTTCAATTATTTTTAAAATATCAAAATTCTTTAGCAAAATTCAATTACTTTTAAACATTTTTTTAAAAAATCTGTTCAAAATTTCAATTATCTTTATAAATAATAAAATTCTTCTCTGAAATTCAATTATTTGCAAAAATTTTAATTAAATTCTTGTCAAAATTTCAATTATCTTTATAAATAATAAAATTCATTCTACAAATTCAATTATTTTCAAAAGTTCTGATAAAATTCTTTGCAAAATTCAATTATTTTCAAAAGTAAGAAAATTCTTCGCAGAAATTCAATTATTTTCAAATTTTTCTTTTTAAATTCTTCTAAAAATTTCAATTATCTTTATAAATATCAAAATTCAATTACTTTTAAACATTTTTTAAAAAATTTGTTCAAAATTTCAATTATCTTCATAAATAATAAAATTTATCTCTGAAATTCAATTGTTTGCAAAAATTTTATAAAATTCTTGTTGAAATTTCAATTATCTTTATAAATGATAAAATTCGTCCTAGAAATTCAATTTTTTTTAAATTTCTCGTCAAAATTTTAATTATTTTCATAAATAATAAAATTCATACTGGAAATTTAATTATTTTTAAAAGTTCTGATAAAATTCTTTGCAAAATTCAATTATTTTCAAATGTAAGAAAATTAAAATGACCAAAAAATTCAAATTTGATAAAATCTTTTCAAAATGTATGAATCTTAAATAAATAAATAAATATAATTGAGTTTTTAAAAAATATTAAAAAGTAATCAAATTTTTGAAGAATTTTAATTATAAATGATTTCTCCAAAAGTTTAATATTGAAAATAATTTAATTTTTAAAAATTAGAATGAAAAAATTGTGAGAAATAGTTTTTTTTAAACTATTTTTAACATTATTATTACAACCTAATTTTCATTAATTTTCATTTTTATTAAATTTACACTTGAAAATGTTTTTATTAAAATTTTTGAGAATTCAATTATTTACAAAATTTTTAATTAAAATTCTTTAAAAGTTAATTTTCAAATATTGTAATAAAATACTGGAAAAACTGAATTATTTTCCATTAAATTTTACAAAATTTCAATTATTCAAAAATCTTTTAATTGTATTTTTCAAAAATTTGTTTAGAAAAATTATTCAAAAATAACTTTTTTTTAGACTTATTAATATTCAAAAAAAAGTTCTCTAAAAAGTTCAGGATACAAATTTTTTTTGTTTATTTTTAAGCCAAGTAAACCCACAAGACCCTAAAATAAAAAAAAGTGGAGAAACAGAAGTTTTTTTCTTCCTCGCCACAGAAGCTAATTTTTTCTTTTGATAATTATTTATTTTCATGTCAGAAGCAATTTTAAAAAAATTTCAAGAGAATCCAAGACGGGTAAAGCAGTGATTTTGAATCTTCCAAAAATCCCAGAATTTCATTTAAAAAAATGAAAATCACTGTTTTCCCCGACTTAGAACCATTAGGAATTTTTTTTAAATAGCTTGTGACATGCAAATAAATACTTATCAAAAGGAAAAAATTGCTTCCGTGGCTGGAAAACAATAATTTAGTTGAAATTTCGTCATTTTTGGAAAATCCGTGAGAAAAAAATAAGATCTTTTGTTTCCCCACCTTTTTTTTATTTTTGGGTTTAGGTTAAAAATAAATAAGAAAAATTTGTATCCTCAACTTTTTGGAAAAAATTTTTGTTTCAATTTTTTCGTTGAATCAACGTTGGTAACTCCAGTTTCATCAATTTTTGAGTTAATTTCATCTTGCACTTGTTTTTGAGATAGATTTATATTGAACTGACGTTTGAAATGACACTTTTTCGACAGGAGGCGAAGAACTAAAGTTACAAATGTTTACATCGACGAAATTAAAAAAAAATAAAATTTAGAAGCGACTATTCTCTTCCCGCCCCGATTTGATTGAAAAAATCTGTTTTGAATGTAATGGGAATAAAAATTAATTTTAAGAAAAATTATTTTGCGTCGACAAAAACGTTGGTAACTTCAATTTTAGTTTTTTTTGTTTCTAAAAAAATCACTCGTTATCGTCAACGCTACTTTTGCAAAAAAGATTTCAGGCAACGTTACTGTTACCTGAACTAAAACTAACAAATTACTCGCAAACACATGTAGAGTGTACTATATTTTGTCAAATTGAGGTAAAATTTGCATAAATGAATTTTAATGTTAAGAGATGTACTCATTTTGGTTATGCCAACAGTCGATTCATTTACATGTTTATCTGCGAGATCGTGCGGCTGAACCTGCATGTAAACAAATACACGAACCTTCAATCAGTTTCTCATTTTGCAGAGCAATTTTCAACATCTTTCTATTGACAATATATATTACATTCAGATATATAAAATAAAAAGAAAAATAATCATAAATAAGCCATATCACATATTTATTAAAAAGAGTATTTCAATAAAAAGCAAACAATGGACATTAAAGTCCCTCCGGCCGGTACCAGTTGAAATAATATAAAAAACACTCAATGAAAGTTTCTTTACTTATTTACCGTTATTAAAGCAATGAATTAACTTCGCATGGGGATAGACACACGGTGGCTGTCAGTGAACAATAAGCTGCTACAAAGTGACTAGAGTCACAAAGATATTTGAACCTACATGCAATTGTGTTGAAATATTCCGCAGTGATTTTTAATAATGAAACTCCATTTTTTTTTAATGAAATCACGAATGACTGACGAGTCGCCCCGCCTGCTAATGCTGCTTAATCAACCGTCCCGAAAAAGACCAGCAGACCAGCATTACTCTATTCCCCACCACTTTACTTTTTAAGGTAGGGACAAAAAACCTAAGGGTGATGTCACATCGAGGAGAGATCAGTCAGGGTCAGGGTGCATTTCTATCGGTGCAAAATGAATTTGTCGAAAAATGTGGAAAGCGCACACTCAGCTGTAAAAGTGTTTCTACAATAGCTCGCAAAGGTATTTTTTTCTGATTCTAATTTATTGATTATTCTGCATATATACATTAAATTAGGAAATTAGCGTAATGTGCAAAATATGAATATACTAAGGGTGGAGTCCCATGGCACCGTTTTGCGTTGCGTCGTAATGGGAGAGAAACAGACGCAAATATACGTTTGCTGCATTCTCTCTCATTACAACCATTAATGTGAAATCTATTCCATTCTGGCGTGGCGGCACCTTTATATGAAGATTTACTTTCACTACCGTGAATCCATTTCTACATAGTTTTGTGTTTTCAGTTCAGTAATAAAAACAGTAAATATTGTGAATCTTGTGAATTTAAATACAGTTTCAGTAGTTGCTATCAGTTAATAAATATAATAAATAATATAAAAAGAAGAATATAGTACGAAACTTCTGAATAAAATAATTTTGAAGAATGGTTTACCTACATTTTCCATCAAACTTAACCGAAGAAGAATTAATGCTTCAGGCAAAGTATAACAAACTCAAACGTAAGGTATGTCCATATAGAATAATAATTTTTTTTTATTTATTTAACAATACAAGATTTTTACCACTAAAGTAAATGCGTCATTAGTCAAAGAAAAGTTGTCTACATTAAATAAATTATAAGGTATAAATGCAGGTTTATACACACTCAAATTTATTTTTAAAAGTATCTAAGAAATGTACCGGTTGTATAGAGGTTATGTATATCTGATTTTTTGTTTCCAATTTAATTTAAAAAATTAATTATGTAATTATATTTTGACGCTAGATTTTTCTTTCGCCTGTTGATGGACGAAATAAGAAGAATTTTTTATTTCGCCCGTCAAGGGGCCAATATGGCTGACGAATTTTCAAAAAATAAAAATTCTTAATAATTTGAACGTTTTTGATGATGCCAGGAAACTAAGAATGAATTCGAGGGGCAAAATTCAAGATAATATTTTTTAAATAAAATATAAAGTAATGTAGCAACTATCTAAATCTTTGTAAAGTACAACTATTTGAAATTATTAACCAAGTGTAAATTTGTATTTAAACCCTTAAAAATAATATTTATATATAGTTTATTAATTTTCATTTTCATATTGGGACATGCCAGGAAACTGAGAATTTAGCACTTGAATGCTTATTTTTTGCAAAAAATATTTTTTGAAACTGGGTAACGTTTTGTAGCATAATAGAAATCATTAAGGACTACAATTCTCATTGAAAATAATTTTCTTTTTTTCAAAATTAATGTAAAAAGCAACCTTGGACATCATAAATTCCCTCTTTTGTAGAGTTTTACTTTTATTATCACGCGCATTTCACTTCCGATTTTAAAAAGTTGGTACAATTTTGAATTTAAAATGTTCTCTTTGAAAAAGGTAAGAATAATATCTACTTTGTTTCCTCAATAGACAATTACAAATATTTATATTAATTAACGAGTGTTAAATTGTAATGTAAACAGTGTTTCTTCTATCTGATTTTTCTAGTCGAGTACACGACGGAGAAACTTTTCTTCTAATATTCAATATATTTGGTTATCATTATTCTAAAAGTTCTTTAGAATGTTGGGATTTTCACTGCATTGTGTCAATAATTTCAACTTTACTATACGAAAATATGATTAGTTGGTTATTATATTAAGCAACCTTCGATGTGCAAAAATTACTTTCTGCATTAGAAATAGTCTTATTTTTCTTTATAAAAGAATAAGATGCCAGTTTTTTACATGTAGATGGAATGTATAACAGACATTCTAACGTATAACATACCAATTTTTGATGGACTTAGCCGATTTTGCCCGAGCATCACGGAGTTCATCACCTGACGTCTGTACTAACCCTAATATTTGCCAATTTAAAATTCATAAATTGTATGAAGGAAAAAACTCTTTTTTTAATAGACGTGAAGCTACATTATAACTACGCAAAGTAATAAATTTATAATTAAAACATAAGTATTCTTACCCAATAGAAGAAGCTCTTTGTTTATCAGGTGCAACGCATGCTACATCTTTTTAATTTACAATTTGAAACCTCTTCTTGTAAGAAAAGGTGTTTTTAAACTTTCCTGCAATCAGTTCAAATATGAAAGCTATGACAGATAGAGAGTATCCAATTACTCCTACATAAAGTAGAACAAGTAGAATTTTTTCTTTTGCAATCATTTCAGGTCCCGAAGCAATACTACGTGATTTTCAATCCTTCTCGTTAATGTTTCTAAGTAAACCAAACTCAAAAACTTTCAAGATGTTTTCAATATATTCATCGATGTAGTCTGAAAAAGTATCTTTGGCAGAAGTATCGACAGAAAACCCTAAATTCTGTTTCAGTATTTTAACATTTATCTGTCCGTGTTTAGCTTCATATTCTTGTATGTGACGTCGAGCACTAAAAGTGACACAGGTAACGTTTTCATAATTCACCAAGGTTTTTAGGCAATCTTGTTGTCTATTTTTTGAAATAATTACGGCTTTGTTTGCTAATTTCTTAGACCCTGAGAGTCCTCTTCCCTTGGCTGAAAAATGTACCAAATTGCTCATCATTGGAGTCAAAGACGAATCAGCAAGTTCTGCGAGAGTTGAAATTTGAGCAGCCGGTCGAAAACTAATGTCAAGAATTACTGAGAAGAAATAACTCGTGTACACGATGCAGGCAATCAGTAGTGAACCAAAAATTATTCTTTCCAACCAATTCTGCGGCTCTCGGCCCGCAGGCATTCCTATCACAATTTGACTGATGTTCAACGTCTGCCATGATCTGTTTCTGAATCTCATCAAATATGCTACGAGTCGTATAGCAATAATCAGACCAATTGTCATTAAGATCATGTACCAAAATTCTGTGGATACTTCTACAACATTTGATTTTTTTGCCGCCTGTGGAATAATTGCTTCGGCATAATCGAGTTGTATAATCACAGCTTGCATAGTGTGAAAATACTTATCATCTTGATATGAGACATATGAAGCAATATCATATCTATTTTTGCGTTTAGCAATATATTTATTCATGTCATGCAAAATCCGGGAAAAACCGGGAAAACCCCGGGAATTTTTTTTTCCCGGGAAAAACCGGGAAACCCCCGGGAATTTTCTTTTAAATCCGGGAATTTTTTTATGAAGTACTTTATTATGTTGTTGGAAAAAATAGTTACATTTTTTCAACGCTTAACTTAATTTTTTTTCAATTTCGAATTGTATATTGATTCTCTTCGTATATTAGACAATGTTTTATTATTGTCCAATTAAGACCTAACTTATATGGGAAATGATTTTCGATGTGACAATCCAGTGGGCAAAAAACCATCATAGTTTTAAAAACGTTCCAAAAATGTTTTTAGAACGTTTCATGTCTGCCAAATAATGTTCCAAAAACGTTCCATTGCTTTTAAAACGTTTTAGAAACATATAACGTTATTGGGACGTTATTTGGCAGACATGAAACGTTCTAAAAACATTTTTGGAACGTTTTTAAAACAATGATGGTTTTTTGCCCACTGGGAAGCTTGTGCCAAATTTTTACAGTGATGCGACACCTGTTTTTGATTTTAAACATGAAATTACCGTCAAGTAAATCACAATACAATTCTTATTATAAGTTTTACAAATATTACGATTAAATTTACTGTAAAATTTTAGTTTTCAATTATCCGGGAAAATTATTTACATACCGGGAAAAAATCGGGAAAACCCCGGGAATTTTATATTTCTAAATTACTAGACACCCTGGTAATACAGATTGTATTGTTTTATATTTTAATTGTGTCTGCCGAATCAAAGCTTCTAAAAATTGTATAACTGTCATATATTTAATTAAAGGTGGATTATTTACGTACTTATTTGGAAGCCATTGACTGACAGATGTTATTTCCTCGGTGGAGTAATTCAGTGGAAATTGAATTTTATTTATTTGGTTTATATGAGTCCTTGTGATTGTTAATAGCGATTCATTATTGTATGTCAATAATGTTGTGCGAACGTACTTATTTTGCCAGAAATAATGCATCGTATTGTCAATGTCCTCTTGAGTTAAGGAATAAGAATATACAACTATACATCTTGGTTTTGCTGGTCCCATTAGTAAATCATTGTCGTCCATAAAAAATCTATCAAATACTTCAATACGACTCTCATTTGTCCATTGCAAAACAAACAGCGTAGTTCTTTTAGGTATCATGAGTGACTTCAGGTAGTATTTATTAGAATAGAATCTTTTGATTTTACTGTAACTAATGGTCAAAGATGGAACATATGAGTTCACTGTTTTCACGAGAGAAATTATTATTGAATCGTTTGTTTGCATTCGATCATCGAGAATAAACACTACCTTATGGAATTTTGATTCCTCGTTGAGATATTTTAACAATCCGTCATAAACATTACTTTTTAGAGACATTCCTAGGATTTCTTTCCAAAAAATGAAACAAACGAAATATATGCCTATTAACTTCATTGTGCCAAACTGCCTTGCTCGTCTTATAAAAATTGACTGACCATAGAGGTTCGAAGCTATATAGTTTATATAGCTAGGTAATTGTTAGAATTATAAAAGCACTTTGTTCTTTTGAAATTGAAGTATACATTTCATTATATGAGACATCATAAAGAGTAATTCACCCTTGAAGTACCACGTGGTTTATGGAAGACCAAATTCCATTAAATTTAAAAACTTATTTCGTTTAGTTAATTTTGACAAAATTGCTGCTACAATTATATCGATTTCTTTAGCGTTAAGTATCTCTTCAGAATATGCCGAAACTCTTCTGTTCCATATTAGGGTAAATGCAGACAAGAAGTTTTAGAGCTTAATTTACAAATTAAAAATTAAGTTCAACCTTAAAATTCCAACTTATGATAACCTATAAGAGATTCTGAGTATTGCCAAGTTTTTATCATGACAATTGGCAACAGGATAATTAAAGTTATCGCTTAATAGAAAAAAAAAGTTGACAATCAATGTGAGAATATAGGTGAAAACACCCAAAAAAGCATTTTCATCTAGATTCTTTAATTTCTAAATTTTTTGATCGCTATTTTGAAGTCACTATTTAAAATTATTTATTTTCGACCAAAAATTCGGATTCAGAGACCTCAAAAACATGAAATATAATGATGAAAAAAAAATTTTGTCAACATTTTTGTAACAAAAACTTTATTTTCCTTGGACTGTGAAACCCTTCATAATCCAGTGAAATGTCATGAACTTGCTTTCGATTATTCTAATAATAAAATAATGAAAGTCAAATGTCATTAAATTACTTATTGAAATGACATGATAGCGAATGAAAGCTTATTATTCAGAGTAAGGAACAACATATAAATTATACTTGTGTATTAAGTACACTGAAACCCCACTTATTTGAACATGGCCCACGCAATTCGACACGAATTATCGCGTTTATTTGTTCTTTGGTAGGCATAACTTATGTTGGTGATGTAATTCGATAAATTGACATGATTGGTTGGTTTTGTTTGAACTCAACCAATGGAAATGTAAGTATCTTGCCATTGGTCGCGTA